TATATACGGGGTGTTCCATTTGAAAAATCAAAGAAGCCGCTACTTTATAGTAGAAGCGGCAAGACCGCTTCATCTAAAAGTATTGCAATTCTGGTGTTTGAGAAAAGTGCTTGTTATGGATAATATACAGGGTAATTACAAGTCAATTTTGATGAAAAGTCCAAACTAGCATGGGGTCCAATTACTCACCATTTCCATCTTCATTCTTGTGAATGTTACAAAAACTTTGTTTTTCTCACAAACAAATTGCTTAAAAAAACCAAAAGAGACTCTAAATGATTTTTTAGAGCAAGTAGCAGGAGTATTAGTCTTTTATTTGCAATATATTTCTGAAAATTTGAAGTTTCCAGAAAAGCTGAGAAATTATTTTTTAAATTCTGTTCTGTAAAATTGACAATATAAAATATTTGTATCTCAAGATAACACACTCAAAATGTGTGGTCTTTGTAAAAACTACGAAATAAAAAAGACTTTTTTTATGCAAAACATTTCGTTACTTAAATTTTGTATAGCAATTTGTATGTTTGGACAATAATATCTTTATTTCTAACTGCTAGCAGATTATTTGGTATTGCCTGTAATTCTTGTTCATTATTACATACTCTTTCATAGATGCCCTTGAAATGAAATCAAGAGAGTTTATATCTGGGGAGAGTGGTGGCCAAAAAATTCTTCTGTTGAAATCTGTTTTGACATTAACCAGATGTCGCTTCCCAAGAACCTCGTGCAAGCTAAAGATTAACGAGGTCTTACCGTTCAACGTCGATCGTCCGACCTGTGGGATCAAACCACCGTTTCACCTAGAGGTGATTGAATCTGTAGAACAGACCACTTACGCCAAAATGAAATGTTACATCACATGGATGAATTTCTTATAAAACTAATTTTTCAATGATGTGTCACACTCAGTACTTCTCTTGTTCAAATTCCATGGGTGATGGCTCCCATGGGGCTTCGCATTTTTTTTTTCAACAAATGTGTCATATTCAATTTTTATAACTACAATTGTTTTAATTTTTGTAATTCTGACTTTGTTGTATAAATTTTTATTGTATTATTTTTATCTACTGATCTACAATTTTATCTTTTGATGTNAGCCAAAAACCTGCATTCATGACAGTGCTGTGCCATAGATCTGATCAGTGATATGGCGTCGCCATGAGCGTAACGTTCAAACACTTCTGCCTTCAACAAGAACAAGGTAATGACATGTCGTCTTATGAAAACTCTATCTATGGGGTAGACGGAAATCTTAAACCACCGCTGTTTGGTATATAAGCCTCTGGTAGCATCTGTAAAGATAGACAGAAAGCGAATCTCATTCTGTCATCGATGTTGAAGCTTCACTTTGCAACGGATTGCTTTTGGGATCCCCGTTAGTATTTTTTTTCAAGGACAAAACACAAACACTACAGTAAAATCCTTAAGGCGCTCTTAGAGTGGTACCTGTGCGAAAGTAGCGATTCACATTGGATTTGAATCGCTGGAGATTACATCCATTTGGAAAAACGTTCTCAGAAAGTTTATTTCACATGAAAGCAGTTCTCCAAACGAAATACTTCTTGAACAGTGAAGTACGAGGTGTACCGAGTTGAACCTCAAAACGATGAGCAGCCACAGTCCGTCGCGTATTTCTGATATGTACCGCTCTTGGTGGAATAAAATATGCCGAGTTACTTGAACACTTCCCGTGAAAGTATCTAAAGAAGAGAGACAAATCTCCAACCTTTCTTCGATGTTCAGTTGTGGAATTGGCCGCAGTGGTATTGCGCCCGGCTCACGATCGGAAGGCCATGGTTTCGATTCCCCCCTTTACCAGATATTTTTCTCGAGATAATTCATCTGGTTGAAGCTGGGATGATTCTGCAAGTGTGTTAGTTCAAATGTTTTACACTTATTTAGTTACACTCTGTATTTACTTTCTATATTGTATTTTGTCGATAATTGGTTGTTATACGTAGATTCACAGATAATAATTAAAATCCTAACTTTGATTTTAACGCATACTCCAAGAATTGTAATGAATAATTGTTGATCTGATCAACTAACCCATTGTTCACATAAAAAAGGTTCCACAAACAAAAAAAAAACTATTTTGCCAAAATTACCATATGATTCAACTATTATTGCTTGTGAAATCTACATTTTGAAATAAAAACTCACTTCAGTAGCTGAATAAGGGTGCTTGCACACTTATTGACTCTTGTAGGCTCCAAGTCTGGGATAATAACTAGCTCATAGAATAATTTTATCAAAGCAATATGATCCTCTTTAGAAAACTTCATCCCATATATTTTTATATACCTGAAAATAAAAAAATGTTACAAAGTTATATGATAATTCATTATTATTTCATTAAATTAGTCATAATCGAAGATCAATGCAGTTTTGTGGATATAAAAAAAAACCGTTAATCCAAACGAAACTGTACCTCCGAGAACTTTATTTCCTTATTTTTCGTATGATTTTTCCCTTTTCAAGAAAGACATGCATTTGGTATAAGGAGTACACCTGTAGAAATGTGCGTACCTCACTACAACGAGAGAATTTAGTGTGACATTCCCTCTTCAATTGAAGTAGTGTTGGGACAAAATTGCGACTCTGAAAAACTAATTGCCTTTCTAAGACGTATAAAGCTACTGTAGCGTATATGAAAACTTAATGTAAGAAATCTGTTATAAAATTTGAATTGAATAATCCCTGAGGTTGATGCAACATTAAATGAATGTAAAAAAAATAACAATATATTAGATGTGTTGGAAAGTAAAGGGCAAATGGATGCTGTGTACACTGATTTTTCCAAGGCTTTCAAACGGTTAGATCACAACAGCCTCAATTTTTTCAATAACAATCTTGATATTATTATTGAAAAAATTGAGGCTATTTGGTTTCTCTGAATCAACTGTAACTTGGTTCAGTAGTTTTTCAAGTAGTCGAACCCAACAAGTTAAAACGGGAGGGTGTTATATCAGATTAAATTTAGGTCTCTCCAGGGGTACCTCAGGGTTCCCCCCACTGTGCACCAATGTTATTCATTTTTATCAATGATATCACATAATGTTTCAATCACACTGACTTTTTGATGTTCACAGATGACCTTAAATTTTTAGATCATGTTATGACTTTGCATTGATGCAACTTGACCTCAATAGATTGGTTACATAGTGTTCCCAAAACAAATTACAATTAGATATTGAAAAATGTTGCTCCAGTTTTTATATAAAAAAAATTGATACTTCTGATACCAGATACCAGGTACTGATAGCAGGGTTTTAGCATGTGTTTCTCCTGTGAAGGACCTGGATGTTTTTTTACGAACAACTTCAATTTATAGTACATTTCATTAGTTCGAAATTCCATTGTCTAATATGATATAAACTGATCTTGGAATCCCTGAAAGAATTTATAAAGAATTAAAAAGATTAGCTGAATAATAACAATTATATTAAGCAAAAAACCTGAAATTACACCGGAATAAAATACAAGCAACAATTAAAAAATTGAACTATTAACACGAGATGAAAATTAAAAATTATTAACAAGAAATGAAAACTAAAAATTAAAATACTCCAAGCCAAGTTACTTCACAACGTTTCAACTGTTAGTATCCAAAATCGTCTTCGGGTGATAACTGGACTTATTCCTCTGAGATCTGACTATTTATAGGTCATTCAAGTGCTTCCACCTATCCCATCTTCCCTTTCTCAGCTTCATCGGTTTTAGTGGGAGATGACCGTTTGGCGGGAGTTGGTCGTGTTCCGCTTGATTATAGGTTTCCATATGTCGCGTATCTCTACACTAGCTTGGCTAAATGCGTTGTTGGACAACATATATGCGGGTTCTTTGAATTTTCTCCTGAACCACTGTTCCTCCTTGTGGATTATTTCAGATTGAGACCACTTGATGTTGTTATGTTGATGAGTCCAAACATGCTTCACTATTCCCGATTTGCTGGTTTTTCCTCGCTGCGTGTGTTTCTTGTGCTTGGCAATGCGAACTTTCAATGGCCTCTTAGTTTCACCGATGTATGATTCTCCGCACTGGTATCCGGTAAATGCAATTCTTGGAATCGCAGTCCGCGTTTGGTGGCCTGGTTTTCGTGAGACTGCTTCGGATAGTGTTCCCAGATCTGAAGCAGGTTCTGATGTTATACTTGGGCCCAATTTTTCTTATCCTTTCCGACTTATCCTTTCCTTTAATGTACGGAAGTATAAGTATTGGTTGTGGCGACTTCTCTTCCTTGTGAACCTCTTGCTGTCTTCTAGCCAAAGCAAATCCGGAATAGCAGAGCATGTTTGGGCTCATCAACATAACATCAAGTGGGCTCAGGCTGAAATCATCCACAAGGAGGAACACTGGTTTAGGAGAAAATTCAAAGAAGCCGCATATATGTTGTCCAACAACGTATTTAGCCAAGCTAGTGTAGAGATATGTAACATATGGAAACCTCTAATCAAGTTGAACACGACCAACTTCTGCTAAAAACTAATGAAGCTAAGAGGGGAAAGAGGGGATTGGTGAAAGCTGTCGAATAACCCATAGTCAGATCTCGAAGGAATAAGTCCAGTTATCACCCGAAGACGATTGTGGATACTAACAATCAAAACATCGTTAAGTAACTTGGTTTGAAATCTTTTAATTTTCTTTAATTTGTTTTTGACATTTGTGAATCTTGAGAACAACTTTGTTCCGTGATAGAATATCTGCCAAATTTTATTTATATATACATTATATATGCTTAGTGAATTATAACCTCCATATCTCTTTTAGTTTAAATTATATAAGTGTTCAAGTTAATATTTATTCAACTCATGTTTCCATTTATATTTCAGATTTTTATTGGATAACATTTATATTTTGGTATAATTTTACTTTTTATATATTATAATGAGTTATTATTACAAGAGAAAGCTCCATTACGATTTTCAAAGAAAAATTGATTCCTCAATGAATCATTTAACCAGGAAAAAAAATATGAACAGTAAAAACAGGTTTTTATAATAACTAATCTGTTTATGAATGTACCGAGCATCAAATAATGTCCTTGATAGTTTCAAAAATGATAACATTAGTATTGAATTTAACAAGCTATTACTAATATTTGAAGCAGCTTAATGTTTATTTGAGACGAATTTCAATTCGTGACTATACTAGCTGTCAAGTTTGGAATCAGCTGTGTCACCATCATCATTGTGATGCCTTTCATGATACAACAGGTGTTACAATTATATTTATTTAATATACTACTATTACAGCTAAAATTCATGTATATTTATCTCTACTTACTTGATTAATCTAGATGTCCATAAGGCACATCCAGGTCGCATTTCTCTAGCCAGAACAGATTTAACTAGGTTAGTTTTAATATCAGAATATAGCTTAGAAGATTCCTCCTCCAGTTCGTCTCCATATGGCAGCAGTTTATTGTAGACATTTTCTTTCTGAAATTTCATTTCGGTTTTTTCATCACCATAAGTCATCAGATCTACTTCCATCATATAAAAAAAAATGTTGCCACTTTTTCAGAACCAATTTAACACTCATTAGTTTCTATCTAGGAAATTACTCGTAATCTTTCTTTCATAGAAACGTTGCGAACTATTGATCAATATATTCAACTTGCTGCTTTTATTTCTCAGTGAGATTTTCAAAAGTCATCACAACACTCAAAATCTCTAACTTTTTTGTCCATTCATCAATCCACTGCAATGACACTGGTCAACTGTCACTGTCAATTGTCGAATGTGGATACGCCAAACCTTAGGCAAGAGAATTTGTCTATGCGCCAAACACATCAAACACAAAAATCAAAATGTAGATGTGCCAAATACGGAGGACGCTTGTATTTTTTTATTCTTCCAAGTAATTGATATGGGTCTTAGAAATCTCAAACAGTGAAAGAAATTTCTCTGAAGTCTATTTTCCCGAAATATATAAATTAGAAAAGAACCTACAATGCAATCGACTTCTTCAATCAACTTATATTATATTAGACAATGGAAATCCGAACTGATGAAATACAATTGACTTCTAACATGAATTATAAATGATAATGGAAAAATTACTTCAAACTTTTGCCACAAAATACTAAACAGTTTTCTGATCATCACTAATATTAATGGACGTGAAAAAATGAATGAACTCAGTAAATCAATATCTACGGCACTGATTATGTTTAAATTGCTAGATTCAATTGGGTGGGTTACGGTTGAAGAAGACTATCGTCAAACTTAAACTAGTCCGTTTCGTCTTTGACCAATGTGTAATAACGATCTGATTCAACACCAGAACCACAGTGAACAATGACGGCATGAAGATTATAATAGTTCAAAATCTGTTTTTCCGTTGATCAGCTGTCGCACCCCTATGAACGACAACCCTCAGGAGTCGAAACTTGTGCGAGCTATAGATTAACGTGGTCTTACCTATTAGCGTGTGATTCCTAACACGGGTTCAGCCTGGGACTTGAACCACCGATCTACATGGCAGTCAATTCTAGTAAGTGAAGAAAGCACCCATGTCGAACCGACTGCTAGATTGAAGTGTTCATCTATTTCGAACTTTCGTAAGAGTTTGGTGCATCCGTCACAGATTGATCATGTTTGAAGATCATCAGTGTCATTATTAGATTGACTGGTGCCTCAGCTATACTAGTTTTCTCATAATTTACTCATAATTTACTAATTTACTAATTAGTTTGGCGTATGTTTGGCAATACAGTTGATCATCACCCGTTAAAAGTTCCATTTTTAGATGATTTGATAATAAGCTTTGCACGGACTGGTTATCAGTCATATTAGGAAATCACATACGTTTTTGTTACTACAAACACAAGACGAGATAGACTGCACGGAATCATTCAATCCAGAGCGGTGAGGGGTATTGATTCTACTACTTGTTTGTTCACGAAGAGTATTCAACAAGAACCCCAAGATTTCGGAGCAATCCTCTTGTTGTCCTAACGAGTATCTAGTGGACTTCAAAGACTCCAGGAAATCGGTTGGTGGGAAAGATCGTACATTCTTTCGAAATTGCAACTGCATTGTTTGAGTTTGGTAAATAAATTGTGAACATTCTCGTTCTCGTTCATCGTTAAAACCTTGTTCTTTGAATTTTTCTTCATGAACAATACTACATGCTACACTAAATGCTATTCATGTAGCAAGTATTTTCTAAATTATCTAATCCAATTTTCTTCTCAAGATTTTCAGGAGACCTGTCTACTGATTCGTAAGAAAAAACATGTTTCACAGAATCTCTATTTGAACCATTTCTCAAGCTGCAATCGATCCTTCTAAGTGATGAAGGGTTTCGTAGAGGGATCGATTCGACTCTTGCTTCATGAAGCTCTTCCACTGAAAGGTAACCAGAACCACGAGAACTGCAGTTCATAATTGGGGGGGCAAGAATAACCTGAGTCCATTCACCGCACTGAAAAAGAAAAAGGTGGATTAATCACTTGTGAATTAACCTTGATAGGAGAATGATGAATATACACATATCTCGGCTTGTTTCGAAGAGTTTTTTTGTTCCACACAGAAATGAGGGCAATGCATGATCTCATCAAAAGTATGTGAAGGAGGAATAGTTCCAAGGACTGAAGCAGCATTGCCACGTTGAATAGCAATACTAATTCTTTCTATCAAAAAGAGGTAGAACGGTGATCTTTCGTTGCTTGGCCTATCTTCCTTCGAGTTCGTGAACGAATAACAGAGACTCTGGGCCATAAACACCAAAAGTTTCAACCGCTACTGGATGGAACAGATGTTTGTTACCAAGATTTTGATATTTTTTTCTTTTAAATTTTCCGCAAGAGAATGCTGCAGTTCCAGCAGACTTCGAACTTTCGGCTAGATGGGAAGCCGCCACCGTGTCAACGCAAGTGAAGTCCCATACCACAGGTTTACCGTATTTCCGTGGTTTGAGAGACATACCATCTGGTCGTTTACCATCATCTCGACTGGTACCTAAAAGGGTTCCAAAATTGGAGGAACAACCGCTGACACCATAGCTCGTTTCAAAATGTCGTTCACCTGGTGATGTCGAGATGTACGTCCTGCACTTCTCCTGCAACTCAAATCATGTGTACCTTTCTCATCAACTACACTACCGCAAACACAAGTATGAGGTACACAAATAGATAAACCCATCACAAGTCCTACTGCTATTCTGAAAGATTCATCGTCTAATAGTGTTCTAAAAGATGCAACAGGTAAAGCATTCAACCAAGCACCCGATTCCTTGATCATTGCTGCTTTCAGACGAGCCTTATCGTATACACTTGTAGATTTCAAAAGTTTATCGTTTACAATATTCGGAAGAGGTGGGTCCCATGCTCTTTGTTTTTTCTTTTTATCTGCAGGAGGAGCAATATTAGTTGTGGCATGCCAAAGTGATTCACCTTCAGCATAAAAAACTTCTTTGATATTGATAAATATGGAAGGAAGGATGGAATCGATAAGAAGAAACACTACTGCCCGACGACAGAAAAGCTGGTAAAGCTAAGGAAGAAGCCGAACGTAGCCTTAATCCGCCAAGGTTAACAGGAAGCGTTGCTTTAAGCCATGAATCATCATTGAAAAAATTGTTTGTAACATATTCCGTCGTGTTACGGAGTAAATTATCAAATTCGCCAAGCTCTAACTGGCTTGACCAAGTGGGGAAACATCTGAGGGCGTTCATGAGTTTTGGAATGGCCAAAAAATTTTTTGAAAGAAAAAAATGCAACGTGTTTAGGAAGTTCGTTCAATCAGGTTGTCAGCAATTTGAGTGATTCCCGTTTTTCTCGAAGATGTTCTGAAAATGAATCCCAGCACCCAGGAGACACCATTTAGACTTTTCCAAAATTCGCATTTATCAAAATCTAGTTCAAGTCCAAGATATTTTGAATAATCAATGATTTTTTCTAAATCCTTTGAAACAATGTTTTCATCGCCAGCGATTGAGCCATCGTCCAAATACCAACAATTAAATTCGGATGATAAATAAACTTCTAGTGAGTTCGTTGATGGTCAGACAAAAAAGAGTAGGTCCTAAGAGGTAACCTTTTTGAACACCTTTCTCAGACAGAATCAGATGTTCACCAAAACTCAAATAGGAAGCTGATTTATAACACTGACTTGATATAATCCTGGAAACGAATCTTTAACCTTACGAAGCATGATGTTTCTATCAATCATATTGAAGGCATTTTTGAAATCTATTTTCAGGAAAATTTTTGAATCGGGATTTGGATGAAGATTTCGAGCAGCATGAGCAACAGCTTCACATCCACTTGCAGTACCGAAACCAAACTATAGTGAAAGTACCATCAATCCTAGTTCGTCTTTGATCCTCATAGAACCAAGTTTAGCTACCAGTCGACGATAAAAGGTACCGACAGCAATCGATCTTACTCCTCCATCCTTTTTACGAAGAGCACACAGTGAAGCGCCAAAAGGTATATGACAAATTTCTGGAGAAACCCTACCAGTGAAAATAAAGTTACATAATTTTGTAAAAGAAGAAAGAAGTTTCTGTCCTGAATTTTCAGAGCTGTGACTAATAAGGTCTTGCATGTGTTGATTGAATCCCAGCCAAACGGAATCTTGTTTAATTTGAAAGGGTTATATTGGTAGGAGCTTCGACAGCTCAGGTTGTCGAAGCTCTCTGTTGAAAGCTTCGAACTGCGCTAGGACTGGAGTGTCTAAGTTGAGTGGCTGCAGTTGTTCATCGATATCCTTTCAGAAGGATGCCACCTGATCAGTGGCCGCCCTGTAATCCATCATACATTGGTTGCGAGACGCGTGTTGTCTCGCCTATGTAATCTTAGCCTCTCTTGTGTACACGCCGTTCAATTTTCCGAATCGCAAGGCCAGGATTTCGTCCTTCCAATTCGGAAAGCGATTGGACGACGCTATACTATTATTATTAGTGATTGTTTAAAATGGTCTGTCAAATTCTACGCGGTCGAAGCCGCGGTTAACAACTAGTTTGCTTATAATATTGAAAATATTACTATAAGTTTCTATTGAGAATTGATATACCTTGAATTTTTCGTAAAAAGTTGTGTTTATTTCTGAGCTCTATATCTTTTGAACGAATGAATCGAAGCAAAACAACAATGTATAGAAAATCGCAAGCACTTTTTTCTTAAAATAGGAGATGACACCTTGGATTAAAGCAGTGTTTCTCAAACTTTTCGAATTCACGGCTCCCTTATGTTTTTTGAAGGTTATCGCGGCGCCACGAACGTAAAGACTACTATTTAAATAATAAAAGGATGTCGGTGGCTGTCTGAACGGATTGCATTTTGCAATTACCGATATTATCATATTATCAGAGGATTACCTTTACCTACTCTCAGTTATCTATGTTGTAAAACGTTGTACCATGAGACTCACCCGTGATCCACGGCGCCCCAGTAAAGGTTCCACGGCGCTCCAGGGCGCCGCGGTGCACACTTTGAGAAACACTGGATTAAAGGAATGAAGGTTTTGCAATGGTTTTAAGGCTAAAACATGTCCCCCGTCCAAACAAACGTGAATTGTTTTTGATTTTTGCGGGGATTTTTGCCTATTCTACGTATTCCAAATAGTTTTTTCGCTTGAGAGCTTTTGTCAATGTTTCTTGTTAAATAACGGAAGTTCGAACATCAATTGTCTGAATACATTAACAGGTAGTGAAGTAAATAAGTTGGGTTGTCATTAATTTTTATTTCACCTTGAATAAATACATCTCATATAGGTATCCTGGTACCACCTACGCATTTTATAATTTCTAGATACTTCTAATACAGTACTATGGATCACAGTATCTTGTTCACTTGCCAAGTTGCTGAGAACTCATCGAAAACTTTTTTCAATCAATGTTTCTGTTTCTTGGGATACTTCAAGACTTTTCACAGTCGCTGCTTCTACTGCCCCTATTAGAGCAGCTCGAAAACCTGAAAATAATATTTATTTGATTATATGTTCCAATGAGTGTATTTGGTATTACAACAGATCATTCAAATAAATCGAACTTTTTATTGAAATGAACGTAAGATCAACTAATATTGAATATCAAGAATAATTATTTTAGACTGAAGGGTGAAATGATGATTGAAGTGAAACGATGTCAGAGCCAAAAACCTGCATTCATGACAGTGCTGTGCCATAGATCTGATCAGTGATATGGCGTCGCCATGAGCGTAACGTTCAAACACTTCTGCCTTCAACAAGAACAAGGTAATGACATGTCGTCTTATGAAAACTCTATCTATGGGGTAGACGGAAATCTTAAACCACCGCTGTTTGCTATATAAGCCTCTGGTAGCATCTGTAAAGATAGACAAAAAGCGAATCTCATTCTACCATCGATGTTGAAGCTTCACTTTGCAACGGATTGCTTTTGGGATCCCCGTTAGAATTTTTTTCAAGGACAAAACACAAACACTACAGTAAAATCCTTAAGGCACTCTTAGAGAGGTGCCTGTGCGAAAGTAGCGAATCACTTCTCGTGACGGTATCTATAGAAGAGGGACCAATCTCCAACCTATCTTCGATGTTTCAGGATGTCAAGGTTGCACGTGATGTTCGCGTCTCCAATCATGCGCATGGCTCTTTTCTGGATGGAATCCAGCAACTTCAGGGTACGTTTGGGGGCGGAGATTCATATATGAGAACAATACTCCAAAGAAGGTCTGATCTGAGCTTTATAAAGTATCAAAATTTGCTGAGGTGTGTACAGTTACCTGGTTCGGAACAGTGTTCCAAGATTTCTAGAAGCAGCCTTTGCAATTCCAGCGACATGATTGTCCGAAGACATATTGCTGTCCAGTTTAACCCCCCAACAAACTTATAGAAGCAGAAAGCGGAATTGTCTGACTTGAAATTAATATATCCGGTTAGGAGACATTCATTTTCTTGGAGAAAACCGATGCCTGGATTTTTGTGGCGTTGAATTGGACCTGGTTATTTCACCCCAATTCGAAATCACTTCTAGACCTTCATTAAGATATGCAACCTCCAGCTGCCGGTGAAGATGTGCCTCCCTAGCCGATGTCTTGGAATCCAATGGAATGACGAGACAAGTGTGCTGTCGTCAGCAAAGCAATATATTGGATTCTTGGTTTTTTCCAATCAGTCTCTGATATATAATAAAAAGATGGTTGGAGACAATGTGGTTTAATTTCGGAAAAAAAATTTGAAGTTGGTCATATTGAAAACATTGAGCGAACTTCTATTTCATCTTGAGAAGAGAGTCGAAGGAGATTTGATCCAATTATTTGCAACACCCGGTGTAGTAGAATGCTTTATTATAACATTATTTGACTTGGGAAATATTGCATTTGCAGGCCTCTGTCATAAGGAAGCCTATTTTCGTTTGAAAAGTTTGTTTCATTCGGAGAAGTGTTGGTATAATATATCGATCTAGGCCTCTAAGATGAGTTGAGCTTTCATATTGTGTAGCAGAAGTGGTTGAATTCCATTGCACTAGCGAAAGATTCGATTTGAATTATCATCAATTCTACATTAATTATTTAGAATATGTTCCAAAAATAAACACTTCTTAACCGCTATCAACCAGAATTTTTGATAGTTAAAAGTAAAGNTTTTTAAATTTGACTTTCAATTTGTTACACTCAATGACATTTCGTTATTGTACAAATCATTGAATTTTTGGCGAAAAAGGGCTTTCACGAATGAAGAAAAAAGAGATATGATACGAATGTATTACAAATACGATAGAAACAGTGTTAGGACATCGGAAATGTATTTAAACTTGTATCCCGAAAGACAACTACATCGAACTATGTTCAAGTTATTGGATCAAAATCTCATCGAGTTTGGTTCGTTTGAAAAGCCAATGAAAAAATACGAAGACAGAATCAACAATCAAAATTTAATAAATGAGGTGTGAATGAGGTAAATTAGATATTGTGTCCTTTTCAATGAAAATAGAACTTTGAACAAAATGTAGAGACAAAAGTAAATCACAGCAAATGTTCAAAATGCTGGCCTTGTTCATGATAACACATTCCTGCCCTTCTTCGAATGTTATTCACTGCACGAATAATTTCCCTCCTCAATTTACCCCATAAGAATGTATCCATAACACTTAAGTCTGGAGACCTTGCTGGCCACCTCGAATGAATGAGGACCCAAAATTCTATCTTTGAAAATTCCTTTCCACACGTTAATACCATAACGCACTTGAAGTCGAATTTCTCTAAACTGCCTGGGGTTGTTTATGGTCTAAATGTGTTCGTTATTTCGGTTGAATATCCCACAATTCGTAAAAGTGCTTTCATCTGTCCAAATTGCATTTTACAGGAAGACAGGAAAATCAGGTCTTCTTATTAGCAAATTATAAAATTCTAATCGCCTTTAGGGATCACCCGAATGCAGTTTTTGAGATATGTGTTTTTTTATATTTTGAACAGCTCTTTTAATATGTTTCCAAGCACTTGTATGACAAATATTCATTTCGGAGGAAATTTGACGTTTAGTTTTTCCCGGGTTCATGTTCATCTGCAAATTAATAATATTTATTGAAAAGGACACAATGCCTAACTAATATCACTTATCAAATTTTCTTCAGTGTAAACTAGCGTTTGAACTTCTAAGCGAGCAGATAAGGATTCGCTCCACTTTATCAAATACACCAAAGTCAATAAAATTCAGAATTAGGGAGATTCTAGGGATAGAACCTGTTGAGCAGCCTCCGGAACCTCCAGCAAATCAAAGAGGTCGATGTGCTATGTGCGATCGAAAAAAAAAATCGTCCCGCTCGTTATTTTTGTAAAAAATGTTACACCTATGTATGTTTAGAGCATGCTCTCATAATTTGCCCAGAATGTTTTGAAACGGCGTATTGGGAATAAGAATTTTGAAATTGATGTGTACACCGGATATATATTTAGTTAGTTTTTTTTGCCTATAAAACAACGTAATATACTAATTTCTATTTATTAGTTGTTTTATTACCCTAAATGTACATTATGTATTACTAATTATGACAAAATGTGGGTATTTTGTTAATGCGGACCGGCAGTCCGCAGCGACCACTAGTGTTCTAATATTCAGCGCGACTACTGAAAGGTTAACTTCTTCATGGCTTGGATGTATTACCAAAAGACACCATATAACAGTATTCGTGTCCCTGAATTGCTCAGATGACTTCCTTTTCAAATACTCCTAAAGTCGAATAGGTGAGAGATTGTCATCTCTGTTATATTTCTGTTGTCATTAGAAAGACAAGTTTTGTCAATTTAACATCATTCGATTAACAATTTTCAGAAATCAAGAATCATTGCATATAAAACTGTAAGTGGACATATGCACTTTTTGAAGTAGTGGAGTGTTCTATTACTGCCTCTCGAGAATAGTTTCATTTCCATGGTTTAGTATCATTTCATTCCCATAGCTACGAGTCTTCTCGAACCTTCAGAAGATACTTTTTCTTACCAGATTTTTCCAAGAAATGTAACCCTGCAGCTGTCGTTCCAGAGGGAGAGGTGACATTATCTTTGAGTACTGCTGGGTGCATTCCAGAGTCTCGAACCATCTGACCAGCTCCAAGAACTGTTTGGGAAGCCAGTCTGTACGCTAGATCTCTTGGCAAACCCATCTTGACTCCACCATCAGCCAAGGCTTCTATGAGTATGAAAACCTAAGGAAAATTCAATAAAATGTTTGATTTAGGTGAATTGATGATGTCAATTGACACCTTTTCATGAATGTTCATTACATAGATCATACATGTTTTTCAAATTTGAAGATAAGTGACTGATGAAATGACTGAAGGGAATTTATCTATTTTCCCTCCTAGTTATACATTTTTTTAAGTAGACTTTGTTTTCAAACCACAGCCACGAGATTGAACATCAGAGAGCGCTGTTTCGACCCGTCATAGGTTTCATCATTGGTGCTAAGGTGAACCAATTGCCGGACTCAATTGCCCATGAAAGACAAGTTTGATTAAGTGAAGACGCCACCTATCGTATTTTTCAATCTATCTATCATTCAGCAGAGAACGATCCTATAGATGGTGTCTTTTTAGTACAGTTGGCAAATTTTTTTAGTAACTGTATTTTTGAAGTAAAAAATAAATTTCTAGCTGTTGACCGCTGCTTATTTGCCCGCGTAGAATTTGGTTTGTCACATTAAGTTTCGTGACAGACCATTTTGAACAAATAGTTACAATATTCTTTTTATTAACCCAAAACTTCAGATTTCCATATTGAAATCTTCAATCTTCGAATCCCTATTTTTTCCCTTTGGAAATGGAAATTCCTGGTTTCCTTTCTTGATGCTTATTTACACTATACAAAGAACCTACCTGCATATTTCAAGATTATAGATTCAGTTGAAAAAGAGTAAGAGTGTTTAAACNGTTAAGTTACCTACTGTATTTTTCTGTACTATCGCTTATTGATTCTTTTTTGTTCATGGCTATCCGCGATAGATTTTGACAGTTTATTCATATGAACGTTATACTTAGTAAACTGCTTGCCTCGTTAAAATAGTAATTGTTTTATTCTAGAGTTCTGTTAAATATCGTTGCAACAAACATGAAGTTGACGGTCACATAAAAAAATACAAATCCATGTAAATTTTACAAATACACTTTAATTTGATAAAAAATACTCCAAACTGATTCAATTGTGGCTTTTTCAAATCATATTGAATCAAAATAGTAAAAATACGTATCCTACGGGGGTAATTCAAAATTTTCCAAAAGAAAAAAAATCGAATAGCAGGCCATAACTTTGTATCTGAACATAACTTTTAATTCAAAGCAACTTTTCTCTTCAACATATTTCTGAATTTTTTGAAATAAGGGTACTTTACTCCTGAACGAACTTTATATTTTTTGGCCTATCCTGTATGGTGTTTGTCATAAAGCCATTTCAGGTACATTTGGTATTGTTTTGGAACATGCACCAACTTTTGTCAAGAATAAAATTTCCTGAGAAATCAATAATAAAAAAGTTTCCCATTTGTTTGTTGCACACTTAGTGGACCACACTGTATATACCAACTTACATTTGAATCCGTTGAGCTTTTTAGGCGTGGAAAAGTATAAAACGTAAAAACATACATTACATTCACCCATCCTCACAAAATATTTATGATATCAGTAGGAGTAGGATTAACAATGTATTTCATTAAAATCTTTCAGTTTTTTTTTGCTGATCCTATTCAATATTGTATAAGTGGGTAACTATTAATTGACTGACACTCATACAATATTAACACACAGCCGAAGCTACTGAACCTAGAATATTGAAATATGCAGGTAGGTTCTTTGTATAGCGTAAATAAGCATCAAGAAAGGGGTTTGGAGAGTGTATCGAATTTCGTCAGTTTTGAAGTTGGAAACCTGAGGTTTTGGGTTAATAAAAAAATATTATAACTATTTGTTCAAAATGGTTTGTTACGAAACTAAATGTGACAAACCAAATTCTACACAGGGGAAGCCGAGAGCAACAACTAGTATATGATTTTTGAAATTGATGTAATTCAGAATTCGTTCAATATTGTGGATGTTGTAATGAGGATTCCAAACAAGAGATAATAATTCGAGGTAGGGTAATGCGTTGATTGAAAATATGAGAAGATCTGAAAAGAAAGGAGCATTTGCAAATCGGTGAAAATTATAGGAAAAATAACTGCTAACAAAACCATTGGAAGAAAATTGGCGATTTTGAAGTGAGTTTTCTGTAGGTCGATTGTATGTGAGAATATGTTCAATTTCACGATAACTGAACATAAATTGAAAATGTTTAATTAGGTGTCATAATTCCCGGGAGATAAATCTATTTGAATAGAAAGAAATTTAAAGCAAATGAACTTCAAACGTTCCAGCCAGTCTCGATATACCTACACAGTAGATTTAATGGACTGACGCCTATCAGAAAACAACTATTCCCCTGGCTAATACCACGAAGGGCGTTGAATTATATCCGACAGGCATCAGTGCAGTAATCTTCACAGAAATTTTTTTGTATATGCAATTGGCAATACAACTGAAAGAGTCGACCTTCANATACAGGTAACAGATTCATTGTCCTTTATTAGCTGTAACCGATGTTGCCAAATGGTGAAATAGAAACGAATCCCTTTAAATGTTGACTGCATTATTTTATTCCTCTTTTTAAGGTATTCAAATAATTTTTTAAAGAAAAAGGTTGAAATGATAAGTTTAAAATGCGTTGTTTTAGAGCTCTTTTATGAAAACTTCTTGATTTTCGTCAGGAGGAACATTCCCCATTGTTGAATTTCGTTCTTTGGCAATATCGCCTTCATTTCGAAAGATATTAAAAAGGCAGAGAAACTTTCAATACTGTTTCATATTTGTTATAATTTGACATAAACCAATTTGCCATGCGATGTTTCGTTCTTCAGATTTCATCATCAACTTAATTTTTTCAAATATGGACCTCTAGTTTTTTCATCGAATTTTGTAGCCAGGCATTCAGCTTTGTATTAGTATAATACATGTCTTTCTCGACGCTTGTCTCTGAAAAAAATCATCAATATTTTTGTAATCTTCTCACATATAGTCAGTGTGCATACTTGAAGACTGGCTATAAATCAAACTATCTAAAGGAACAATTTGTTCGGGCCAGTCTCAACTCCCTACACTGTAGGTTAATGGACTGAAAACAACTACTTCCCTGGCTGATACAACGAACGGCGTTGATTATATCCGTCAGGTGTTGTAGATGTTCGTACATAGAAGATTTTTTGTCTACACCGATGTGTTCACGGAGTCTTACTTCGAATATAGGCCAGACCGGCAGAAATTTCGTTGGAAGCCATGGAAATCAATAAATCAATTAAAATTTCAAAATATAAAACCCTTAACGAACAAACGGATTTGTGTAGGTCTTAATGTGTAGTTGTGTAGTTGGTATTAATGAATGTAGGTATATATCTTATTACCTACTCTCGGATATATATACTGCCATATTTCTATTTAGGTCAGTAGTGCTAGAACACTCGAGAATGGTGTAAAAACAGAAACCTTGGTCGTATTGATATCAATACATTAAGTAAGTGGAAATTAGAAGAAGTATTTTATTCCTATATCTAAAGTCAGTGCAGGTTTTTTCACTGTTCGCTGTTGGCGATACAACTGCCGCAATAGATTTTCGATTATTCGAACACACAGACCGGTTTCGGGCTGTATGGTCACTCGTCAGTGCAAGGTAATGTATATCATCAACATAAAGTAGATGATTTCCGATAATTGAAAATCGAATTCCTTCAGAGCATCATTCCTCGAACTAGGCTGAAGCGAACAACAAACAACAGGTTTGTCATCACCCCATCTGCCTGTGAACGAGATAACCAAATGCTTATCCGAAATTTGACCAATTCCTCATATGAGGTGTCAGTCCATTAACCTACAGTGCAGGGAGTTGAGACTGGCCTGAACGAATTGTTCCTTTAGATGATTTGATTTTTGTAATCTTGAAACAGTAGAAACCAATATCTTGGAACTCATTATACAGGGTGTAACTGAATAAGTGTAAAACATTTAAGGAGGTGATTCCTCATCGAAGAAAAGATAGGATCTTTCATATGAAGAAACTTCATTGGAGCGTCCCTTGTTAAGATACAGCCCCTTAAAAGGGGTACATAAAATTTGTATAACATTTTTTTTCACAAGCACTGAAAAAGTTACAATATTGAAATTAACCTGACGTTTTGTACTACCAAAAAGACACTTAGCCAGTAATTTATTTGGTTTACCCCATGGTT